ACTTTTTGGGGGCATGTCAGTTCAAGTTCAAACACCAGTCAGTTTGTGTTTGGACCCAAGTCTGGAACTTTACCAGGTCCTCACCAGTACAGTAGTAATCAATTTCAGAAGCTTTTTTTTCAATTGTGTTGTTATTTTTGATGATGATCACATGTTTTAAAACTTTTTTCTAAGGCATACCAGCAGCATTTTCCTTGTACACATTTATAAACGAATCTGCCCTTGCCTTTCCTGCTCCACCACCCTCCCCCCAAACAAACCCCACATCTGTTTTAAACAGATGTTGTTTAATTCTTTCCAGAAAGAAGGGGAGGGAGGGTAGGAAGGGAGTTTTCCTCCTTTATACCTTTTTGGTAGAGAAGTTCATTGTCATTCTGTTTTGGGTGGGGTGAGGTGCCTGAGTAACGTAAATATACCACAGATAGGAAGCAGTTGGCACATAGCCATGCAGCTGGATTATCCAGACATCCTTTGCAGCTTTTAGTGCAACGCTTTATCCCCCTGCCTTGTTTTAAATAGCCAGATGCCTCTGTTAATGCTGGCTGCCGGAGTTGTTACCGGAGGAGACAAAGGGGCTTCTGCCCCCTGAGCAACTCCTCCCCTCTCCTTCCTATCCCATCACCAAGAAGTCTATGACATGAGGAAGGTGCTTGATAGGAAGCATCAGGCAGGAAGGAGGATGCCTCAGAGTGCAAGCAAAGGCTGGTGTTCACAGCCCTCGCGGTCTGGAAGCAGAGGGGTGAGGTATTTTTAAAAAATCTCTAATAAATGAATACTTTTGGAAATAAGTTTATGGCACTAACCTAAGTAATGCAAACTTTTCTTGTTCGTGTTTACTTAATCCCCTCAAAGAAAGGGAGAAGAGCCTGCAGCTGCAGCACAAAAAAGTAAAAGCGTGTTTTAACAAGAGGTGCAGAGAGTTTCAATTCTTCCCCTTGGCTATTTCCTGTTGAGATGAAACCCACAGTACACTCACAGAAGATCTGAGAAAGCTGTGTTGCAAACTGGAGAATTAAAAATCCTTAAGACCTGAAGAGAGAGAGAGTTTTAAATAAACAAAGTGTAGGGGGAAAAACATTATTCTCCAAAATTGTTTGTATGCACTTACTCTGAATAAATGTTCTTAAACAACCTCTAGGATCTAAAGGAATGTGTATGTTGAATTCTGAAGTGAATGGATTAGTAGTACATACGCAAGCATAGCCTGTGATTTTTGCAAGTACTTCTACGTGTAGGACCAGTGATTTTTATTAAATCTGCCTGTTAATGGAAAGGAAATCTTTGTTGTTATCCCAGTTGAGCTATTGTGGTTTGTAAGCAAATGCATATTGGACACTTTTTAATATTTTTGAGTTGGAGTCTCTCTCTGTTGCCCAGGCTAGAGTGCAGTGGCACACTCATGGCCATCCCAGCGTCGACCTGCTGGGCTCAGGTGATCTTTCCGCCTCAGCCTTCCAAGTAACCGGAACTACAGGCGCAAGCTGCCACCCAGCTCATTTTTTATCTACTGTAGAGACACGGTCTTGGCAAGCTGCCCAGGCTGGTCTTGAACCCATGGGCTCAGGTGATCCACTGGTCTTGGCCTCCCACAGTGCTGGGATTACAGGCTGAGCCACCGAGCCTGGCCCACTTTTTTTATTTTTACAGTGATTCTATTATCTAGAAAACTTTTTTTCTAAACCTGCTTACGTTGTGTGTTTAAACCATTCATTCTACAACCTATTACATGTAAGACACCAACCTAGGCTTTAGGTGTATAACAGTGAACAAAAACAGCAAGGTGCCTGCTCTTGTGGAGTTGATATCCTAGTGGGCAAACATATGTTACAAGGCAAGCACTGACTTGGTAGCATGTAGAAAGGCAAAGAAGGGTGAGAAGATTTTAGAGGGATGAAGGGTGCTATACTGCTATGTATAGAGCAGACAGAGAAGTCTCTGAAATAACCTTAGGCAGAGACCCGAATGAGCCTAGCTGGTGTGTGAGAAGAAGGGTATAGAGTGGGGTTTTTAAGTAGACATAGTACATGCAAAGGCCCTGAGATAGGGGTGTGCTTAATGTGGAAGGCCATCACAGGCCACTGGATCTGAAGTGGAAGGAGCAAAAAGGAGAACACTAGGGTAAGGACCAGATTTTTACTTTTACTCAGTAATGCAAGAAACTCTACTGGAGGGTTTGTTTGAGTCGAGTATCATAATTCCATTTACCTTTCTGTTTCCTGGAAAAGGTGGGCAAATGTGGAAGTAAGGATGCCAGTTGGGAGGAGTTCAGTCTGAAACATGCTGATTGTGATGCCTATTAGATGCCAAGCAGACATCACATGGGCCCTTGGCTCTACTGATCTGAAGCTTTCAGAAGAGGCCTGGATGGAAATGTGGATTTGGGCACTGTTGGCATTTAGAAGGTGTTTATAAGTGGAGGAGTTGGTCCCAGCTTGGATCGTGGATGGCTTAGCCACAGAAACAGGAGGAAAGGCGGAGAGGGTGCTGGTACAAAGCAGCGGGCAGGGCAGTAGGCCCAGGTGCCAGGTCTCTCCTGATTGTGTTTATTTTCTCAGTGATGTTAAAGCAAGCCCACCCATTTTCCGAGAGCAAGGGGGTAGGGGACCGTGTGAAAGAGTCTTCTGTGGACAAAGCAGGGAAATGTAGCAGGATGCCAGGTGGCACTTAAGGACCCACTTGAGGTTAGTGTTTATGGCTTTAAAATGAGACCCATGAACATAGTAGAGTGGATTTTTTTCCCCTCTCACTATGTGCTGCACCCTGCGTGGGGCATGGAGTAGTTAGATGGTAGATTAACTGGGTTAGGGTTGTGGGTGGGGCATGAAGTAGGCGGGTGGTAAGATCTAACCGAGTTGGGGTCGTGCCAGGGAGTGACAATGAGAAAAGAGAGGGCAAAGGCGTTAAGGTTGTGTGCAAAGCAGTATTGTGGTAGGCCAAGGAACTTAAGTTGGGTAGGGTCCAGTGAGGACATGAGGGGTGTGGGAAACAGTGAAAGTGGTCGGAACAGTAGACTGCTGGCCCCAATGGGGTGCAGAATTATTGGAGTCTGGCGGGAGGAAGCTGCAGAGTTAGGAGGTGGTGGCTGGAGAGCAAGATGTTTAAAATTGTGATATGCAGATATTGGTAATGACTAGGCCAAGAGTTAACCTGGGCATGAATGACTAAGGTTGGATGTGAGGCTGAGGTGGGTGGGGGTAATGGTTGCACAACATTGTGGGTGCAGTTAGTGTCATAGGAACTGAGAGGCCAAGGAATTGGAAGGACCCTGAGAGACAATAATGACATTACCAAGAATTGTGGCTGGGATCATAGTGGAGAGATGGAGGGGCTGTGAGCCCAGGTGCTAAAGTCTTCAAGGAATGAGGGAAAATGACCCAGAGGTCTGTAGAAGATTGAAGAAGAGTGGTGGGGACATGGACAGTGTGTGAGCTTCAGAGGAACTGGATGAAGGCAAATGGCCTGCAGCTGTGCTGAGCACCCTACTCCACCTAGGCCACTCCACCTAGGCCCCGCAGGATGTGAGGTGGGAGAGAGGAAGCAGCCCTGTGAGAATAAGCCACAGAGGCTCAGTCAAGAGCACTTTTTCACTCAGGTTAGGAAAGTGAAAGGAACTTACATGAAGTACCTAGAATATCAGATTCATAGAGACAGAAAGTAGGATGAAGGATGCCAGGAGCTGAGGGCAGGGAATAGGGAGTTAGTGTTTAGTAAGTACAGAGTTTTGGTTTGGGATGATGAAAAAGTTTGGAGGTGGATGGGAGTGATGGTTGCATAACCTTACAGGTGCAATTAATGCCACTGGACTTGGACATTTTAAAATAGTTTAAATGGTAACTTTTGTGCCTTTTATATCTTGCCACAATTTTTTAAAAATGAAAGGAATGGCCTGAGGAAGAGATGAGGAAGTGAGGGAAATGGGGGACCTTGAGACCTGGAGGTTGGAAGCAATGGGAAGGGAGTTGTGTCATAGAGGAGGGTGAGCTGTGGGGGGTCTTGGAAAATCTGGTGGTTCTGCCTTTGGGAGTGAGTGAGATGAACAGCGGTGTGGTACGGAGGGACTGTCTACGGCTTCCAGCAGGTTGCTGGGGCCAGGCTCTGAGCACTGGGGGCAGGGAACAGTCTTCTAGAGGACCAAGGAGTTCTGTGTTACACTTCGTCTCTGTTTTCCTAGACTCTGGTACAGCACGTGACATGTTCAAGATGTGACTATATGTTTGAATGAGTAAAAAAATGGCTTCTATCCAAAGAGAGAAAACAGCAAGTGAGAATGTAATGGCCTTACTGAAAATTCAGATTTCCCCAAAAAGTGGTGAAGAAGGAAAAGAAGCTAGAGTTGGTCTCTGAAGGAGAAAGTGGATTTTTGGCAAATGTGTAAAAAAGAACTTATTACAAAATTGAAATTTTAGACTGGGAAAAAAATAAGATTATAAACAAAAGTCTACATGTGTGTAAAGGATTATTTGAACTGAAATATTTTCCCACCTATATAAGTGATTTCGGGTGAATTTATGATTTGGAAGTAGATTGTTCTATTTTATGCTAAAAAGATGATTCGCTTTATAAAATGTTAAGATTTGGTCATTCATTGTCAACTGATTTTAAAGGGTTGAAATCATAATACCTTCTTTAATTAATGGAGCTGTGTCTTTACAACCTGAAGATACTAAATTACAGAGACCAGCTAATTTGTTTTATTAATGCTTAAACCCAGAGACTGGAAAATATTATGTCCAAGTACATCTTCAAAGACTCACAAGTCTTTTTTAATTGTTTCATTACTTTCTTAATTTTTTTCTTAAAATATACTTTTATATCGAGTTTAAGTGTTGTTTTTTCCCTAAAAATTGAGATGGGCTACCTTTTAAGATTGCTGCCAGGCATAGGTTTACTTTTGACAGGTCCAGAAAAGTGCTGGCTGTTGGTCAACCGGCGTTGTGAAACATGTTCAACAGCTACCAGACCTTTGTCATGCCCCGTTCTTCTTGTTGTTGTCGTTTTAGTGACAGCTATATTGTGCGCGTCAAGGCTGTGGTTATGACCAGAGATGACTCCAGCGGGGGATGGTTCCCACAGGAAGGAGGCGGGATCAGTCGCGTCGGGGTCTGTAAAGTCATGCACCCCGAAGGCAATGGACGAAGCGGCTTTCTCATCCATGGTGAACGGCAGAAAGACAAACTGGTAATGGCAGACATACAACATGTGGTTAAATTAGCAAAGACTGATTTCTTTACGTTAAATCATAGCCCTCTTTCCTTAGGTATTTTTTTATTCGTTCTCTGACTTCAAATTCTTGCAAAAGCTAGAATTCTGGAGCTGGTACCAAATTGCAAAACGGGACCTTCCCTTTCTTGTGAACTCTCTTTGGACCATCTAACTCAGATAAATGACACCATATAACTCGGATGCCTAGAAGTGTATTTGGCTGTCTTTTGGGGGTCTTTGATTAATTAAGATGTCTTTCTGTCACTGTAACAAGGTATTCAAAGTAAAGTGTGCTCTTTATTTATTATGAATCACATTGTACCGAGCTGTGAAGTCAGAGTTTTTTAAATGGAAGGTTGATTCATGGAGCATGCCATTGAAGTTTGGATGCTAGAAGTTAAAATGCAAAGGCAAGGTGTCATCTGAATCTGGTATTTGGTGACTTCTAAATAAATGTTTATCTAAAAGACACTGTAGCTTTTATTTAATAAGCTAATGAATAAACCATGTTTGGAAAAATACAGTAACAAAAGTACAGTATCGTACTTTTAGAAATAATTATGCATGCTTTTAGATTAATACTTTGGAGAGTAATCATTCTCTCCCGGGATAGAATATCAATAACTTATAACATAACAGTCTCATGAAGGAATTTGAATGCTTAGTTCTATGTTATGAAGGCTTCTATGATAAAAAGGAAGATGAAATGTCCAAATCTATTCTAAATCGGTAGCCCTAAACATGGACAGATATGACTTCTGTCTGTATTTGATCATGGAGTGTATACTCAAAAACCAACAGTTGACTCAGAATGTGCAGGATTGTACAGGATCTTAGAAAATGCAAAGGCACCATGAGAATGTCAGTGTTACACTTGAGACCATCTACAGCAGCATCTGTTGAGTTTTATGTGTTAAAATGTGCAGATTTAATCCTCTTTTGCAACCATTTCTTATAGTTTGAAGAATTTACAAAATAGATAAGACAGAACAATTTGTAAATGTTATATATGGATTAACAGAAATGCAATTTTTATACTTGATTTCATTTCTGAAAAAAAATTTTTTTTTTTTTGAATTGGAGTCTCATTCTGTCACCCAGGCTGGAGGTCAGTGGCACACTCTGGCCACTGCAGCCTTGACCTGCAGGATTCAGGTGATCCTTCCACCTCAGCCTTCCAAGTAACTGGAACTACAGGCACACGCCATCATGCCCGACTAATTTTTTTATTTACTGTGGAGATGAGGTTTCACCAAGTTGCCCAGGCTAGTCTCGAACCCACAGGCTCAGGCAATCCTCTCACCTTGGCCTCCCAAAGTGCTGGGATTATAGGCCTGAGCCACCACACCCAGCCCATTTCTGAAAACTGAAAGGGAGAAGACAGCTAATTTTAAGAAGTGTCTATTCAGGAAATGCCCTACATAGTCAAATAATTTAAAAACTTATTGTTTATAACATTTCTGCAATAAAGGCAGCATAACCACATTGCCAATAAAAGGTAAAATGACAGCCGTTTCTCTAGCATTTTCTGTGTGTTAAGTACAATGCCAGCCCTTTGGTTGGATTGTATCATTATATCATTAAACAGCCAGTGTGATTATAATTTAAGAAATTAAGATTCAGAAAAACTCCTTGTCCTTGATGACCCATTTTGGGGGCCTGGAACTAGTATTTGATACCGTTACTCTGACCCCAAAACTGAACCAGTGTCACACCTGCAGAATCACTTTTAGCCCTTTGTTAGTTTTTTCTTCCCCTTTGTACATGTTTTTATTTTTTTCTTTTAGAGATGTGGTCCCTCATTGTTACCCAGGCTGGCCACCAACTCCTAGGCTCATGCGATCCTCCCACCTGAGCCTTCTGAGTAGCTGAACTACAGGTGCACACACTGTGCCTGCCATATTTTTATTTTTACATAACTATAATCAGTTTGTCAACGATTTTGTATCTTACTTGTTTTGACCTAATAGTCTCATATTTTCCATGTTGCTGTATCAGTTTGATGTTTCATTATTTGGTCTCTTCTTAGTGTCAAATATTAAGGTTCGACCCCCTACCCCCACCCCTCAGTATTATGACTACATCTGTATACATTTTCCACATTTACTATTTTTGTGAAATAATTTGAGTAGTCACATTTTCTTGACTTTCATACATGTACCAAGGGGCTGCTGCCAGCATTAGAATTTCCTTGAACATATTGAGAGTCATATATATATATATATATATATATATATTTTTTTTTTTTTTTTTTTTTTTTTTTTTTGAATTGAAATATCACTCTGTCGACCGTACTGGAGTGCAGTGGCCGCTCCCCGCCCCCCACAGCCTCGACCTGCTGGGCTCCGGCGATCCTTCCGCCTCAGCCTTCCGAGTAGCCAGAATTACAGGC